CCCCAAAACCCCAAAACCCCAAAACCCCAAAACCCCAAAACCCCAAAACCCCAAAACCCCGAGAATTTTTTAGAATATTGAATTTAAATATGTTTGATTCGCATTTGGAGTCACTGAAGTTGTGATCTAGCTCATCTGAAAAGGTTAATGGTAGGTTTGCAGGGTTTGATGTTTTAGAAAGTGAGAGACTTGAAGAGGAGAAAGTAGTCTCTGGTGATTATAAAGAAGTTCCGACTCAATTAGAAGATTATATACTCAAAGATAGTCTTTATACAAATTCCCGCGAAAGTAAGCAAGTCCTATCCCTTCATATTTTATCAAAGCTTTAAGGAAAAAATATTTTTAGAAAACTTTGGAATTAAAACGGCGCAATTTGAAGCAAATTTCGATACCTTCCAACCTCGCTCTCCAGAAATTTCAGTCCAGAGGAGGGATTCTCCTACCAGAGAAAAGCTGAGGATTGCGAATGAGAATCTCAATTCAATACGTAAGTCATTATCTCCAGCCAGAACAAACAATCTGAGCGATCATGATCGTATCAGTGATATTGGAGATAGCCCAGAAGAAGAGTTTTGAACAGGTAAACTTTTGATTAACTTCAGAATATCGGAGAGCTAGAAATTTCCATCAGAATAAAGATACTTCAAAAGTCTCTGAGATCAAATCAGAGATAAACAACTTGATGGAGAAAATGGATAATGCAAGCAAGTCTATCTTTGAAGCTTATGATTTTAAAGATACGGCTAGGCCTTTAGATTTTAACCAAGAAACTGAGAATATTAATCAGACTGACCCAGTTGATTCTTTGCGTGAAATAGAGCCAGCTGATCCAGTTCTTCTAAGCTCAAATTTAAACCCTCATGATGGGAAAGCTGTATGTATTGAACCAAAGAGTTTTATCCCTCAACCTCATCCACAATCTGAAAACCATCCACCAAATATCACCTCCATCCCTCACCCTCCAATTGATTCAGAAAAAGAAGCCCAAATTCAACTTCTCCAACTCGAATTTCAGATTTCCAAAAGCCAGAAACATCTTTCTCACCTCATCTCTGCTTACAAGACCCTTCAAAACCCCTCAAATCCACCCCAAACCTCTAAAATCATCCCAACTCCCTCACCCCCTCTTCCCACTCAAAAACCCCATCCGGTCCCCCATCTGGACCCAAAATCGCTCCAAAAACAGCTAAAAACGTCCCAAAAGACCATAAAGACCCTCACCGCCAAGAATTCCACCCTTATCGCCACAATCAAGCAACAAGAGGTATCTGCTCCTAATCTTTCCTCTTAAAACCTTCTGTATAGAAGAACAAGCGCGCCTTTGAATCACAGAAATAGAGTCATGGAATCACTCAAGAGTAAGTCACTGGCTTATGCTGTAGAGAAAGAGAAGAAGTTTAGGGAAGAAATGAGGTAAGAAATAGGGGTTCTAGGGGAGCTTTGGGAGGTTAGAGACCTAACCAGTCCTTTATAGAACCAAAGTAAGGTCAAGGAGAGATTTATAGGTGACAAAACTTGAAACGAAAGTTGAGAAATTGAGTAAGGAAAATCAATTATTGAAGACACATAATGAAAGTCTCCTCAAATCCCTTGCGAGGAAGAATAGCAAACCTGGGGAAGATCCTAATCTGGATAGTGAGGATATAGAGCAGATTAGCCAGTTTATGCTCAAGTTTTACAAATAAGCACAAAGAGATTTTATGTTTCAGTAAAATAATGAACAAAAGGGGTTTTGGGGTTTTGGGGTTTTGGGG